AGAGAAAAGGACATATGGATACGAGTTAAGAGTAACTCTCCATCACTGTAACATGATACTATATACAGTCAGAAAGTGCAATAACTAGGCACAAAACTGACAGAGTACTGAGACATTCGACGTCCTGACACCTAACTTCAACACATCTCCGTAGCGCTAACCGACAGCCTTCCAACTTGGAAGGTTCAAGGTTGTGGAAAGACCAAAGAGGGGAAGGCAAGCGCAACGAAAACGAGCAAAAGCTACAGTCCCAACGGAACAAAGAGTCTCAGTACTCTGTCAGTTTTGTGCCTAGTTATTGCACTTTCTGACTGTATATAGTATCATGTTACAGTGATGGAGAGTTACTCTTAACTCGTATCCATATGTCCTTTTCTCTTTTACATTTATTTATGGCTCAACATCCGAGTTTCAAATTATTATTATTATTATTATTTTCGCTAGTTTGAGGGAAAGAGACAAACGGGAAGAGTCTGAAGAAAAAATTGACTGTCACCACCAGGACTCGAACCAGGGACCCTCACTTGTAGCTAGCGAAGCTCTAACCACTGAGCTATGGTGTAGTCGTCATCCCAGCGGAGACTGTTCAACATTTTCTTCAGACTTCGTAACTCACACTTCCTGTGAATCCACACAGGCGGGTGGGACGCAGCCCTCACTGTACCCACACACTTCATTATTAGTATTATTATTTTAATAACGAAGGTACGTGTTGGGTCGTAAGTATCCACGCAAACACACATCCAGTCAAAATATGGCACTTGTCAAAGTATCCGAACGTTTTCGGTCCCTTCTCATCAAGGATTATACAGGGAATGGCTCAAGTTGGAAAGACTAAAACTTATAATATAGCGTAAAGATATGAGATAACAACACTCGTGACAAGGTGGAAAATTATCAAGTTCAGCACGACACAAAACGCGAAAGAAATAAGAATAGTGACAAGAACATAGTGAGCAAATTAAGTTACATTGTTAACACCTCGACGAGGAGTAACACCAAACAATTGCAGCGACAACACATTTTCTTTCTGTACGCAAAGTTCAGGATCTAACTTACGGATATACAAAGCTTCTAACACAGCCAGATGCAACGCACATCTACCACGTGACAATATTGAGAACACATTATCACTGTACAACTCACGATAATTGGTGCGGGCTGACAGATGTTGTTTGATTGACGAAGTGCGATTCTTAGCTCCGTTGGGTGTTGTCTCCTCCAATGTCCCATCATCTCGCCTCTTCGCGGCATCACCACTATCCGTCTCTTTGCTTTTCCGCGGCCTTCCACGTTTTCTGACACTAGCCGTTGTGTGCGCGATGCCCAGTGTCCTTTCAGCTACGTCTCCTCCATTGCGGATTTCTATTGAGCTTCTTACTCCAACTTGTCCGGTGTTCGATATTGAGGTTCGTTTTCGCGGTCTACCACGTTTTCGAATATTGACTGTTGTTGTCACTTCCGTTGTCGTTGTACGTGCGTCCTCATGAGTCCGTATTTTTACTTGGCTTCGCGTAACCCTTCCCGACGCAGACAGATCCTTTGTCAATTTCGGTGGTTTACGTGTCGGTCTTTCACCTTCTTTCACGCTGTTCTCAGCTGGACCCTGCCCTACACACGCGGAGGAGGACGGGCATGCAGTCACATCTTCACAGGAAGAGGAAGATCCACCGATGGGCCGGACAGCACATTTTGGAGGACGACCACGGCGAGGACGACACTCACGCGCATCAAGCGGAACAAAACTTTAAAACGGCACATGTTGACGAATGCGCGCGCCCAGGTGCTGAAGGGTTCTACCTACATACCGATCTTCACATTGTCGGCATTGAAAGAAATAGATAAGTTTACTTTTACTAAGGGTAGGTAGAACATCCTTCTTCACACTGAACGCACGCACTGTCCCAAATATGACGTACAGCTTGACGCACGGATAAGATGGACATACGATACCACGAACATCCTTCTCCACGCGCGCAGAACCGGCGCCAACCCAGGGTAAACGGAGCACCACTGGGCAAAGGTCAGGTCCAAATTGGATCGGCTTGTCTGTCGCCGGTTTTTCGTTGATTAGCTTGGCCAGAAATTCCTTTGGATAGCCGTTGTTCGTAAATATTGATGTCAGTCTGTCTAATTCGTCCTGCAATAGATGAGGGGAACATATTCTATGCGCACGATAAACTAGCGCTTTCACAAGATGTTTCTTCGATTTCGTTGGAGTATATTCCGTGGGGGAGCTATACTCCAACGAAATCGAAGAAACATCTTGTGAAAGCGCTAGTTTATCGTACGCATAGAATATGTTCCCCTCATCCCCTCAAGGTGGCAGATTCTGCTTGAAAAGCAGTAAAATTGGCAGAACCATACAAACCTTATGGCGGGCAATTCCTCGAATTCTGCTCCATTTCTTTATCCACATACCAAACATGCATGAAACTTACCAGAAAAAGCACCGAATTCTGCCAATTTTCTGCCGGCAGAATCCGCTGGACCCTAGTCCCTGTGTCTGTGATTCCGGGAAAAGATTAAGTCAAGTGAACATAGTACAATCATGTACAAATAATTGAGAGGCTTTGCATCGTTTTTATCAAAGTAGACACCCTTAGCAAAAAACGTTATGTTGTAACGGTATTATCGTAAGGGGGGAAATACCGTGATTTGGGTTCGACCTTTAGCAAGATGCACCCTATTTTTAGTACGCTGTTGAGCTTTGATATCACGCGGTACAACCATTTTTGTCACAATATACGCGATACAAGGTGAAATGCGTACGGACTATGCAATATTTGGCCAAAACACATAACGTTGGTCACAACGATAAATCAGCCCCCATAACGTTTTTACGCTGCAGCTTCAACGCTATTTGGGTGATCAAGGTATGAGTACCGTAAAAAATAGTGTTACCGTTGTTTGCTAAAGGTGTCTATTCTAAATATTTGCCGGGTTGGAAGGTGGGAAACAATCATGCACCCTGTAAGAAGACCATAGGTCTGTGGGGACTGCCCTAGTAAAATATGAATAAATAATAATAATAATAATAATAATGTACAGTTGGTGGTGACTGAAATCCGACAGCTGAGCGGTTCGCTCACATCGCAAAGATCAAACATGGGATTGTAAAGCTACGAAATAGAGACCAATATTTGGGACGCGTTCGAATTGTCTTCATCAAATATTCCAACAAATTGTAAAGAAATTAGTTGAAGTGTCCCGCTAGAACGGTTTCTATCATTTCAGAGTTTTTCAGTGGAATTGTCATGGTGATGATGACGTCCGATTAGATCGACCATCTCCACGTACTACGTAAAGTAGCTATTCCAAACTCTTCGAAACTATTCCACCTCTCCCATCGGATGAGGTCGTGGAGTTTCGAGGAGTTTCGAGGAGCTCCGTTTTTCTGAAGAGGCCAATAAGGCCACCTCTTCAGAAAAACGAAATTCCTCGAAAGGTCAAAGAGTGACAATTCGAACGCGCCCTTAGAATGTGAATGATTTCAGCTGTCAGCACTGTATTATTACTAGTACTCGTAGTACACTGTAGTAGTACTAGTAGTAAGCCAACCCGTCCTTGCTTCCTTGGTCAGTCGGTGACAATGACATCTACGCCTAACTCACGTGACATGCGAACTAAATATAGCATGCCGCGGCCAGACCTGACAAGCCTTTCAGGGCGGGCTGCCACCTACTCCGGCCCCTTGCGGCCTCGGCCTCCTGACGCCTTTCAGACGGAATGCAGTTATTTTCATAGCTATAAAAGGACCGACTCCATGACTGCACAGCACAGTGTACGTAACACTATCATGTACAGACTACAGCAAAACCTGTGACTAGCGACCACCCCTTGGGGCCAGAGAAAGCGGTCTTTAGTGGCAGGTGGTCCTGAGTTAGAGGTTTGCACCGCACATCCATTTTAATATGAATGTAAGATCGTCCGTCCCTGGCGAAGTGGACTTTAGTACCAGGCTGGTCTCTAGTCACGGTGGTCTTTAGTTACAGGTTTTATTGTACGTGTACATGTACATGTATGTACAGCGGTGGCAAATAGGGGTGTGCGGATCCTGCTCGAAAAGGTGGCAGATTCTGCTCGAAAAGCAGTGAAATTGGCAGAACCATACAAACCTTATGGCGGAAAATTCCTCGAATTCTGCTCCATTACTTTATCCACATATCAAACATGCATGAAACCGACCAGAAAAATGTACCGAATTCTGCCAAATTTTCTGCCGCCATTATCCGCATATTGTAACAGGTAGCCGAGTGGTAGGCGCGGTGCAATTAACACGAGTTCGTTTATTATTATTCTCTCAGGTACACACCTGGGATATAATTATTAGTAAAAGAAGAAGCGGCAAAATAAATAACTTTCTCTCCGGTGCTCACCTAGAGGTTGACTGCTTCTTCTTCGAGTTAGCTATGTCGTTGCTATCTAATCTCATCAAAACAGAAATGCGCAGCAGCCCTTATGCTACAGACGCCATACGCTTACATACGGAGATACACTAAATATACATCAGGTAAAGTTCCGTATTAGTTCCGTATTACTTCCGAACTAGCCGGGCAGGGATACTACAATATGCCTAATGGCAAATGAATTCCGACCGCTGATTTCCCTACATACGGAGATACACTAAATACTCTACTCTATTCCAGCCGTCTCTATTTCGTACTGTTACAAGCGCGTGCTGGGTCTTTGCAGTGTGATCGCACTGAATTCGGGTCGGATTGCAATCGCAAGGAAGAAGAAAGCCGTCGGAGAGATAAATCAATAAAGACGTGCAAAATGATGTACATGTACATGTACATGTACCCACATATCAATCTGAATGTAAATGTACATTGTATACGGACAGAACTGGTTCGTCCTTTCTGGACTCATCAGCGCACTGAGCGCAGCACAGAGAAAATGAGGCCAAACCTCAACAGTGTTGTGAGTGCCCCGTCGAAAATGTGGAAGAGGGAATGTTTGAAATCGAGGAGACAGATTTAGAAGTGTCAAGAATATATGTAGGACTCAGTATAGAGTCCATGCACTATATGATGTCCAGCACCCTATATAGAGTCCATTGGTCCAAAATCCACTATACAGAGTCCAGGAGTCCACTCAGTTTTGATCAGCTTCATCCTGCCGCGCAATCCCCTATAAGGAGTACACTTTTTCTACAAGTCTCCTATTCACAGTCCAGGAGTCCAGTTTATCCAGTCACGCCGTCCTGTGTGTTGTGCCCGAAAGAGAACAAACACATTTTCAGTTTTGCTTGCCTCGTGGCAGCGCATTCCTTTCTTCACTTCAGCCATGGCTGCCAGTTCTGCTGTGCAGTTGCTGACAGTAATCTGTCTCGAGGTAACCAAGGAGGATAAGGAGACGTTCAAAATCAAATCTGGAAAGCGTCTTGTGGTTCTCTGAAGACGTTTCATCAGTGCGCGGGATGAAAGCAGAAATTGCAGAACGAGAAAAAGTTCAGCACAGTTCAAATCTGACGAGTCAGGTACACTGACACTCTCTTTCGTTCGACGCCACAAGGATCCCCTGTTTGGCTGGCCATTGCTGCCAGTAAGACGTTTGAACGGTTTCATCAGAGCGAGGGATGAAAGCAGAAAGCGGTGAAAGAGAAAGGTTCAGCACAGTTCCAATCTGACGAGTCAGATACACTGACATTCTCTTTCGTTCGACGCCACAAGGATACCCCTGTTTGACTGGACAAGAGCTGCCTGTACCACCGTGTCAAAAGGCTGTCCAACTACATGGCAGGACGATGACTGAGGTAAGGAAGCTTTTACTTGTTTCGATTGGTCTGCTGTTCTGTCGTTATGCTTGAATTTGTTTCCATTTTCAAGGAGCGTATCGTGTTTGTTTGATGTTGCTTGAATGAATGCCCTAAAAGTAATCAACCACTTCGTAATAGTCCTCAAGGACTGCAAGGACTTTGCATCAATCGTATACGATCGTCTAGCTATCATCAATTATTATAATTATTTCATGAGAAATGTATTTTTATCCCTGTGAAAATTATGTGAAACTCCACGACACTCTTCCTCTACAAATTATAGTATGATGTCAAATACAATGGGATCCACAAACGCAGTGCCAGTGTACTAGTAGTAGTAGGAGGATTGCTTGTATGCCAATGACAAGAAAAAGCTTCTCAAGCTAATACTCGTATTCCCTGAAGTAACCGTTTTGATGTCACGAACATGACATTGTGTCAGTGAAACTGCCTCGTGACAACAAATCATTGCATTTCCATCTTGGGGAAGACTGACTGACGGCAACGCTGTACAGATTGTTCAAATCATCTCATTTCAATTTACTTCGAAGTAGTTGCAGTGAAACACTGTGTACACTACATGTATGGTGGTGTGTCCGTGCGTCTTGAGTGTGCACAAACGATCTTATTCCTCGTATTACTAATAGATTATTGTCCCCACCGTCACCTGTTCACAGGTCTTTGAGTGGATTGATTTTCATTGAGCATCACATTCGTTGAGAACTTGGTAGTTGTGTGCTCCCATGCATCATTACGTTAATAGGCGTATCCTTGTGCTATCTATTTGTTGCAGGTGTGCTGATCTTCAGAAGCTTGCGGAACTGAGTGCTGCTGAACATTTGCATGGCCATGAGCAATGGTGAAGCTTGCTATTGCACTCTCAGCATGTGCTAGTATTATGCTGACCACTGCACTATGTTACTCTCTTACACTACTACGTGTATGTAAACGTGCGTGTACCCGTCCCCGTACGCATTCGTTTCGTATAATTATTTGTTATCCCTCTTGACTTTACGTGTAAATGGGTGGACGTTTGCATGGCTGTTGGAGTTGCGTGTGTATTGTGTCTCTACTCTTTTCTTGGTGTTTTCTTGGCGTTGTATAAGTTTGTGTGTGTGTGTGTGTGTGTGTGTGTGTGCGTGCGCGCGCGCAATAGTTTGAAAACAAATAATTAATCCTGGGCTCTCCATTATTCTCTTTCGATTCTTGTTTTTTTTCTAGGTATTTTCTTGGCGTTGTGTGGGTGTGTGCATGTGTGTGTGTGCGTGCACAATAATTTGGCAACACTGCATGATTGAGATATTGTAATTTGCAGCGTCTGCGAAGAGACCACTTGATTTGAGGATGGTGTTTGTAGTGTTTTTCATGTAGTGAAGTGGCTGCAGTGGCGCCTCAATACATATTTTTTATCTTGAGAAGTGAATGATGTAAAGGATTAAAGGGAGAGGCCGTTTTCTGGTTAATATTCACTGCTTACAGCAGATGCTATGTCTAATTTCGAACTCGATAGGGGATGCCTAATTGGCTGGACTTTATACAGGGAGTGTTGTCCACATAAAGACTCTTTAATCTTTATACATGTAGTTGATTTCAAAATTTGGACTCCGTACAGTTGATTTTGGACCAATGGACTCTATATAGGGGTGAAGCCAATTGGCTGGACTCTATACAGGGAGTGATGTCCATCTAAACTGAGCTCACAGTTGATTCCAATTTTGGACTCTGTACAGTGGATTTTGGACCAATGGACTCTATATAGGGGTTGGACATCATATAGGGGCTGGACGCTCTACTGAGTCCAACATATAGTCAACCAGTACAGTGTCCTGCTTGGTTTCCCCTCCCTGGTTTCCCCTCCCTGGTTTCCCCTCCCTGGTTTCCCTCCCTGGTTTCCCCTCCCTGGTTTCCCCTCCCTGGTTTCCCCTCCTTGGTTTCCCCTCCCTGGTTTCCCCTCCCTGGTTTCCCCTCCCTGGTTTCCCCTCCCTGGTTTCCCCTCCCTGGTTTCCCTCCCTGGTTTCCCCTCCCTGGTTTCCCCTCCCTGGTTTCCCCTCCCTGGCTTCCCCTCCCTGGTTTCCCCTCCCTGGTTTCCCCTCCCTGGTTTCCCCTCCCTGGTTTCCCTCCCTGGTTTCCCCTCCCTGGTTTCCCCTCCCTGGTTTCCCCTCCCTGGTTTCCCTCCCTGGTTTCCCCTCCCTGGTTTCCCCTCCCTGGTTTCCCCTCCCTGGTTTCCCTCCCTGGTTTCCCCTCCCTGGTTTCCCCTCCCTGGGGCTAGCTGGGGCTCAGCAGCATTCAGCTGAGCAGATTCAGGATGCCGAACCGATCGCTCGCGGACTAGACCTCGTGAACCTCGTAAACACAATGATGATCGCAACAGAGCAAATGAGAGACTGCACCGGATGTACATGTACATGTACAATGTAGGTTCCTGTGTGGGAGTACAGTAAAAACCTGTAACTAAAGACCACTTCGCCAGGCACGGACTAGGCACCGGCGGATTATGTTCGAAAAGCAGTGAAATTAGCAGAACCATACAAACCTTATGGCGGGCAATTCCTCGAATTCTGCTCCATTTCTCTATCCACATACCAAACATGCATGAAACTTACCAGAAGCGAAGTTTTACTGCACTGCTCTTTCCTCCTGTCCACTTTCAAAGACACAATTCGGCGACAACGTGTTGTAGCCGCTCTTTCCACACCAACACTTGCCGACAACGGCACGAACGTGGCATGCTCCACCTCTCTCACTCTCTCTCTCTCTCTTTCTCTCTCTCTCTCTCTCTCTCTCTCTCTTCACAGCATCTTCTCTTTTCTTTTTCATGACGCCGAGAGGCAGGCGCAGCTTGACAGAGACATACCATAGAGCCTGAGCTTCATTGCAACCCAAGCGCTCCACAACAACAGAAGATTACAGAAAATATGCGGGGGGGGGGGGGAGGGGGTAGATAACTGGGGATTACGGGGAAAAGTGTGCACAATATCAGAGAGTCAAAGAATTGAATGGAGGGGAACAGAGTTAGAGCTTCTGTCTTTCTTTTTTTCTTTGGGTCATAGCCTGTCTGTTGCACACTCCCAGCGTGTAAGGCGCAGGTGGGCGTTGACCTTCTCTTTGAGAGTCTGCAGTCCTTTCCTTGTTGGTTCAGCAGAATGCACTGCGGGAGCTGGTTCCAGACCTCAACTGCAGCGTCAGGGAAGGACTGAAGGACATCATTCGGCGTGCTCTGAGCGGAAGAGTGGAAGCGAGCTCTATAGCAAGACGGCAATGCCAAAGCAGCAGAGCGCATTGTCACCAAATATCCAAGCGTAACAGAGGCTCTGTCAAGCTGCGCCTGCCTCTCCCCCACCCCTGCCATTCCATAATATTATGTCTCATCGCTGCCTTCCTGCTTTGTACCGTCAAAATGGTATGTGCTTTTGGGAAGAAAAAATAAAATATAAACTAAAAAGAGGGTACGTATTGGCTGGACGTTAGGGGCAGTATTACATCAGTGGGCGGACAAATCCCTTGAAGGTAGCCAGGATAAAGCCGAGGCGCTTTGCAGAGTTGAGAACGACGGACCCCATGTGTTGGTGGCTCTGTGTCTGGCTGACGAGTTAACTATTTACATGTACCGGTACTGTGTAAGTACTCAATCTGCGTAAGTACACATTTTTCGTTCACGAAATGTTTCGTTCGATCACTCCACCAGCAGGTTCGTTACGTACTAAATTTCGTTTTGGGTCGAGGTCTGTCACCCCGAACGTTCACAAAAACAACTATAGTTTGGCGCAAACTTTAGGTATCTCGTGCCACCTGACAAGCGATCTACGCCGGCTGTGATGGCATGCTAATCCTACAGCTCCTATAATTATGTCGTCAATACTTTTTTGAATTGAAGCCCGGTTTGCGATTTTCGCACCGACTCCCTCCCCCCCCAAACGTATGCTCTTCGTTTCAGGGGCTTCTGCGAACTTTTGCGATGGTCCCTAACGAATATAGCGAAAGTTATTTCCAAACGAGACTTAGAGTCAAGTCGAGCGAGCTGCAACTCCCGGTGCCGAAAGGCGGGCTCATGCCCCGACATGGCTACTTCCCCTTGTCTAGCCCCCAAGACGAAAATGATAGTAGCCGACTGGCCGAAATTAAAAAAAAAAAAAAACGAGACTTTACAGTGGTTAGTCGCAGAGCAGCACTCTGGCTGTACCGCTTAGGACCCGTTTAAAAATACTTTGTTGTTCAGTAGACGTCATTGCGGTCAGTGCGGCCAGTAATTTCTCTGAACTAAGCCGAGGAGAGGTTCCCGCACTAAGCGATCATCAGCAAACAGCAATAAGCAAATCTGGATCAGTACAGGTGAATATACCCAAAAAGCAAAGTGTAAATGACTGCATCATGGCGCAAATCTAAAAGGTGTGAGTGACAGCAGTGCAAAGCGTAAAGTTTAATGACTGCATCATGGCGCAAACCTTTTAGTACGAATGACAGCAGTGGTGAAAGGTATCGCTTGAAGTGGCAAGCACTGGAGCTGGTTGTCTCCTACTTGATTAGGTAATGGCTGAGGATGGTTTGAAGTAAATTCCGAAGGTAGTATTTATTCTCGTGGCGACACTTTGACACAAGTTCACTCCCCTTGTCGAGAGAGAGGTGCTTGCGTGCTTGCGCGATTGCTATTTTTTCCGCCAGGCACAGGTTGCACCTTTTTGCTTTTGTTGCTGTTGGCCACTGCCCTGCGGCGTATCGCCCATTGAATGCTGCATGCCTTCCCTTCATCCTTCTTGGCCCATACGTACTGCGATAGGCGGGTGTCCTTCTCGTGTTGTCTGTGGCGGAATGAGGATTGGTGGTTATAGCAGCGTTGTATGAATGTTGTTGCTGTTAATCCAATATACTCCTTCTTCTCCGTACCTGTGGTGACTCTTGCCTTATACACTATGCTCTCCCTTAGACACGGTCCGTCCAGTGGACATAAGTATTTCGTCCGACAGCTACAAGTTCTGGTGTCGTTGTCACCTCCGTTGGCTTGTTTTTTGGGTCGTAGAATCGTGGTATTGTGTTGTTTGATGGTGGTAACCATATTCTGCATGCAACTGTAGCTAACTTTTACTGAGTTCCGTCTGAATATTTTGTTGAGGCTTGAGCCTTTGGGGAAGTGTGTGGCCACTAGGCACCGGCGGACTATGCCGGCAGAAAAATTGGCAGAATTCGGTACTTTTTCTGGTAAGTTTCATACATGTTTGGTATGTGGATAAAGAAATGGAACAGAATTCGAGGAATTTCCCGCCATAAGGTTTCTATGGTTCTGCCAATTTTACTGCTTTTCGAGCAGAATCTGCCACCTTTTCGAGCAAAATCCGCCGGTCCCTAGTGGCCACTAGCTGGAGGAAGAAATGTCCGACATCGGTTGTGACTTTCTTGCTAAATGGTGGATTGAACCATATGATGTTCCGGTGGCGATTCCTTTTCTTCTTCTTTTTTGTCTCGTCCGTTTTACGCTCTTCGAAGTACTGCACGTTATCCCGGTATCCACTCTCTCTCTCAGCGCGTCGCTGTAGATCGGAGTCGCATCTCGGAAGACGTCTTCATGGTTGGAAATATCTGTGAGTCTTCTGCTGAGCGATGCAGGCAGGTTCTGGATATTGTAGGCGGGTGATTTGACTGGTAATTGATATAGATCGACTTGTCGTTCAGTTTCCGGTAAGCGCAGTACTTTTCGGTGGTAACGTCCAATGTAACGTCCAGAAAGTCGACTCTCTTCAGGTTTGTCTGTATCGTTATCTTCAGTCCGAGGTTCTGGAATTTTTTGGTCATCTTCGTTCTTGTTTGGTCAGCTTCATGTCCTGAACACGGCCAGACCGTCGTCACGATACAACCCGATGTCTCGCCGTTGAACACGTCCACTATCATGCATGTAGAAAGGAAAAGCTGGGAGTCTTCTCTGTCGATCCAATGTGTCCAGGAAGAAACAGGTACACCACTGATACCTGCATACGCCTCGCAAGCCGCCTCATTGTGCCTGCGAAATGGCGATCCAACTTCTGCCACATGGTATGTCGGCTTGCAGTTCAAACTCAACGCAGATCGAAAGTTCAAACTGCAGTGCAGAGGATTCATGATACCCGTACATGAGTGCTGTAGCTGTTATTATGATTCTTGGTTGTCAACTAGTACTCTTTGTCTTCACGATCTTCACGGTAAGAGGCACAGTGTGGGATCTTCTTGGAACGTGATTATGGTGATGGCTATCTTCTCTCGATCTCCCGCGGCTAGTATTATTATGCTAACGTCAACACTCCGTACACAATCATCATGCAATGTTCCCTCGGCCGCCTTGTACATCACACTG